CAACCTCTCCAGGTAACCTGTTCCAGTGCTTTACTACCCTCCTCGTGAGAAAGTTTGTTTTCCAAATATCTGACCTAAAACTTCCCTTACTGTGACTGGAGCCCATTGCTCCTTGTCCTGTCATCTGCCCCCACGGAGAACAGCCCAGCTCCATCCTCTTTGCAGCCCCCCTGCAGGGAGGTGAAGGCTGCTATTCAATCCCCCTCGGTCTTCTCTTCTGCAGGCTAAATCAGCCCAGTTTCCTCAGCCTCTCCTCACCAGTCACGTGCCCCAGCTCTGAACCATTCCTCTTCCCCTCCACCAGACTCTCTCCAATGTGCCCACATCCTTTCTGTCGTGGGGAGTCCACAACTGGACACAGGACTCCAGATGTGGCCTCCCCAATGCCAAATAAAAGGGAAGAATCACTGCCCTCCATCTGCTGGCGCCACTCCTACCAATGCAGCGCAGGATGCCATTAGCCTTCTTGGCAACAAGGGCACACTGCTGACTTCAGGGGCAACTCTTCTGATGTGGTAAGAAGCTGGACACAATCAAAGTTGCTCTTCACTTCCCTGTAGTTGTTTTGCTTTGTTTAGAAGTGTTTTTGGGTAGGGTTTTTTTTTTTACGGGTGGGTGGGGGTGGAGATTTGTGCCTTTGTTTGAAACAGTAAGGAGGGACAACCAATAGGCAAAATTCACTGTTTCCTCAATCAGCTGAAAAGCCGCTTCACAGAGGTAACCTTGATGCCCTTTTGAAGAAGATCATCTTCAGTTGCTACAGCCCCTTGTGAAGAAGAACTGCTCAGTAATGGGGACACATCCATATTTCACTCCCCGCCCTTCCATTTCCCAAGGGCAGGTTGTGCACATTTTTGATGGGTGGAAAAAAAGACAAGTGCTTGTCCAACAGATACTTGCCACCAGAGGCAAAGGTATATATCCAGGAGATTACCACCATACCTCTGATCTATTACCAACATAATCTTGGATGCCACAGGATCCAGTGAATCCTGAGGCCATCCCAGGAAAAAGAGCTTCACAACAAATCCTTCAGCTGAAATCCAAGTTTTGCCCCTTCCTTCAGGAAAGAAGGCTTGTTCTTACCAAGTCTGCTCAGGGATGGCAGGCTGGAGAGGTTATCAGAGGACTGAGTGGGCCCTCACATTTTTCATGAAGATCAGTGCATTTATTTTTCTAGATGAAGTGATGATTGCTGTTGGTGTTAGATACAATTTCTGCACAAGTCTTCACCAAACACATGGCTATTTCACAGGCAGCAGCTCAAAAACATACAACTTTAAAAGCTGTACAAGGAAGAGCTTTTCCAGCTTACAGAGAGACTTACATCTGGTCCATTTCTGAGTTTCATGCCTTGCCCAGTTCTTTCTCCATTCAAACCTTTTCCCCAAAGCAGGATGAAAGCTATTGCAGCAGGTGGTATTTAGGCCCGATGATAGTTTGATTTGTGCCATTTGGAATAACTAAGTGACTGACTGGGCAAAACAGCTGTGGCCATGATTTTATGGTTTCAGTGAAGGACAGGAGGGGGGTGCTTTCACTTCTACTCTTACAGAAGCAGAGCTATACAGACAATCTGCAAATTGTTACTGGCAGGTGAACTTAAAAATGTTGGCGATAGAAAACATACTTGATTTTCTGGCAATGCATCGTCTTTGACTTAATTTACTAGTCATTTTTTTGGGAGAACCAGCCCAACTTGGATGTTGGATTAAAACCACGTGGTCACTTCAGAAGCTCAGCTCTTACCATCAGACCCACTTCTAGAGCTGGTTTTAGGTAAAATCTTACCATCGCAAAGCTTTCTAGGTCTGTATAGCAAGTGAGATGTATTCCTATTTCAGCTGAGTTGGAGCAGGCTCCTAAAACTGTCTCCACATCCCATATCATTGCTCTAACCACTGGGCCATTTGGCTACACTGGAGCCAAACAGTGAATGACTCTCACGATAAACCCAGAGAGATTTTGAAAGTCTCAGGGTCATTTTAATGTGGAATGGAGAAAAATCACTACCTTCCCAGCTATATTTCTGCCCATTTGCTTTAAATTCTGCAGAACAAGGTGTTATAGGAGGCTACGTTATTAGTTTGTAAAAGTCACAACTTTACAGATGCTAAGAACCACCCCCAAGGCCAAGACAGAGTTAAAAATAGGATTCAAGAAAGCTGAGAACTGGCTTCCATTATTATATGGTGTCACTTCAGCCTACAGCTTTATTACATTGTGTCTTATAATACTGTTTAGCTCTGCAAAATATAATTTTGTCTCTAAAGAACCTTTTAAAAAGTTCAAACAAGTTTACTAAAAACAGGAAAAGCACCTAGGTTTCTAAAACCCTGTATTAGTCACTGCAGGGAAAAACAACAAACAAACATATTTTGCTTTCTTAAGTAACATACCTGTATTAGGCATGGATTTAGTGCAACTCATACTGCCTAAGAGTTTCCAGCTTGTTTCAATCATATAACATTTCCCCACTGTTGTATACTTATTCTCTCCCACATACAATTAGCCAGTAATCACCTTGGAGGAAAATAGTAGCTGAACATACTTCTGAGTTCTTACCTCATGTAGTAAAAAGGTAGCTTTCAATACATTTCCCTGTAATATTATGGGAAATATTAATATAGCCACCCACCACACAGGCAAACAAATTTCTGCAAGAGTTTTCAAAACAGTGAATCTACATTTACTAGCGCCTTTCCAAGCAGACTTTCAATGCACTTTGCAAACTTGGTGAGTGGAGAGAGTTATTTCATCCACTTCTGAAATGCAGGCACCTGCAAGATGACTCACAGCAGCTATGGATTACTTTCTAACAGGCTCTAGATTACAAAAATACTATTTTTGCAGGCCTGAATATGCAAAGCACTTAGCAGCACCTGACTCAGCAGCTCACCGGATAAAATCCTATATATTTTAATTCCACAGAGTCCAGTAATATTAGAAAGACGCACCAACAAGACATTTGATTTCCGGGAGCAGCAAAGCACTACCACATTTCTTCTTGCATTAGAGAAACAAATCCTAAAGCTACTTTCTTACTAAACAAATCGGACTTTGAGAATGTTGCTACTGAGAACAAACTGACTATTATTCCTACGGCATCTTTATCACAATGGTCCGTGCAAGACTAATTCAACTAGTCAAAGAAATGCAACTCCTCTCCCCTCCCCACATTCCCACACTGCTCTCTCCCTCCAGATGAAGTCCCAGAAGCAGGCATCTTGCAGCCTTGTGGCCCCTTTTCAAGGGACTCCAATCATGCAGGAAAGAAATGGGCACAAGTTGTGAAACTGGAACAGGTGTCCTAGCCTCAGGATATGGGTCAAAAGATTCACTGCAAACAGTCATCTACCACCCTCTATCTATTTTAGAGTCAGACTCCTCAAATGAGAAACCACCACCAATTCTGAACACAAATGGCTTCTGCAAACTATGAGCCACAGAGATACACTACTGCAGAACTCCTGCAGCCTTCCCCCCACAAACCCTACAACATATGGAATAAAAGCTTCTCATCTCTGCCTTTAAGGAGGAGGCAAAGGGCATCCAGTTAGAGTCTGGGTCCAATGAGAAGACTGGTGGGACTATTTGGGAGGGCAGCACCTTGAAGCCAGAGGAGCAGCCTGAATGTGCTTGGCAGTAAGAGATGCAGGACACTGAAATTGGGAAGCAAGGAGTGAAATGTTCACAGCCCACAAGCAGAAGAGATAAGAAGTTCACTATAAATAACTTAATATGCAGCCCAAGCTTTCCTGGAATCACAGGATTTGCTGTTCTTCCAGGCTGTATCCCTTTATAGCATAAGCACTTTGCATGTCAAAAGCGCTTAATCATTTGTAAAGTTCAGCTCCCTCCATCAGGATGCCAGCAAAAACACTGACACCCATCAGGCTGCTGATGTGCTAAGACCAATGCTGATGATGCTGACTAATATGGTCTCTTAGTATTCCTCCCACCTGACTGCACCTATCTGATCTTTCTGGTCTTCCCCTTTGATTACAAGCTCTGCTGCTGGCGCTGGGTTTTTGGTTTTTTATGGTGCATTTATACTGCTCCAAGCACAGCAGAGCCATGATCCAGGACTGGGGCTCCTATGTTATTTGTATTATCAAAGCACCAAAACACCATTTATAAGTGAAAATCATCCTACCCTACAGACTGGCATGGACAGCCAGAGTTTAAGCAGCTTTCCTCCAAGGGACACAGCAAGCTAGCAGCAATCAGGAATAAGCCAAACAAATCCTGACCTCCACGCATTCAGTAACATCTCTGCACCACAGCCACTTCCTTCTTCTTTAGCTTGTCGACTTTAATTATTTGTCCTCAGCTACAGCCCCCCTTAGTTACTCAGCCAAGCTTCACCTCTTCCAGTCTGAAGAGAAGTCATTCTTTCTCGCCCCCTGGTTGAATGATTTACTTCCATGTCTGTGATGAGATTCATACTGGACATATCTGCATATGATTTAAATAATCCTCCCAACAGCTATCCTCAATACAAACTTCATTTGACAAATTTCACTCACCTTGGTTTCAAGTATTAGGACACTGTTTATGCAATGTTGAAACAGAAAACTGACTCTGTTCTGCTCTTCTGTTGCCTTTAGTGGATCAAATTATTCAAGCTGGATTTCATAATATAAATATACGACGGTGAAATTAAAAAAAATGCAGAGCAGAGCTAGTATCAGCCATTCAGGTGATTCCTCTGTCGTAGGATGAATGAGAGGCCAACAGCAGCACAACACTCAGCAGTTTATATGTGCAGAATTAAAAAACAAACAAACAAACAAAAAAAACACCAACCTTAAGCCACTTTTTCTTTTTTTAAGAAAAGAATAAACCAACTGATCCATTTGCTGAAATGCCACAGCTCCTGTAATCCTAATCTTATGACATTAATTAATGTCTGTGGCAATACACTAATTTCAAGCACCAGGATCCTAGGACAGACAAAAGCAAGGTACAGAAGGGAAGCTCGTCTGTATTTTACAAACCGTCAGAAAACTGGAAGCTGCATCTAGAGATTTTTGGCAAAAGGCATTGGACACAACAGCTTCTTTTCTCCATGCTCCAAGTCCCAAATGCCTAACTTCTCCTCCTTACAACAGACAGAGAAGTCCAGCTCCCTCCCCACTGATTTCAGAAGCTGCCACCTACTCTTTCAGAGCTGGAACGTTTGCTGGATTCACAACCCCCTGGATTAGACTGCTAACCAGCATGAAAAAAAATACATGGTCCACCAGGTCCATCAACCCACAGCAGCATCCCCAGGACTTCAAACCAGAAAGATAGTTGTACAATTAAATGCTGTGAGCATAAGAGAGTGCCAGATCTATTTAATAATAGAGTATGTTACTTCATGCCCATTTTTCTTCCCTTCCCTTGGTGCACTTCACTCTCTCATCTTTCCTACCAAGGATGTTTTGGAGGTTCATAACTAATTCTTTTCCCTCCCTCTCCCTATCCCATCACTCTGCAGTCTCTTTCTTCCTCCAAACCTTTACTGCCTCTTCCCCTCCTTCTCATACATCGTCTTCATGCCTATTTATTCCCCCATGTCTTCTGCACCCACGCTCTGC